TCTCTTTCTGTAGATTGTACACACAATACACACATCTTTAGATAATCTGGCCATGGCAGGTAAAAAAAAAAGTAACCCTGAATCATACTAGATTAGCGTAAATGCATGTTTATGCGTTCAAAACAAGAAAAGAATTTGTTTCTCGGTATTAATCTCTTGAAACACGGCGCTGAATATTGACGCAAAAATATTTCGGGCATCGCGCGCCCTTCCCCAAATCCCGCGTCACGTGTCGGCATTTCGCATCTCTGATTGGTTGTTGCGACTTAAGATGACTGAGCCGACGCGCGTTTAAACAATTTTTCTTTGTTCGATTTATTTTCTTCACAGAGAATTGTCGCCAATGGCTACTTCTTTTTGTTGCAATATATAATACTTCACGGAGAATTGTCGCCTATGGCTTCTTGTTACATTTTCAGCCCCCTGGCGGCTTGTTACGGTACTGCAGCGGAACTTTTTTTATATCGTGATCTGAAAATGCTAGGATCATGAAGTTTGGATGGTTGGTACATCTGTTGTGTTCGCTAAATGGACTATAAAAAACTATATTCATTATATAATATATAAAATATACAAATTAAGACCTAATTAATGATGACCTGTACGCCTGCTCATCTGTCGCAGCCACAGGAGATTCCAACCAATGGAAAATTGTTATGATTTTATAATGATGACTGTGATTTAATACTTGCCAATACAATGTGAATATCATTAAACATAGTTTATTTGTAATTTGTAATTTATGTGTAAATGCTTATGATGCTAGCCTTATTTGTTAAGATAAAATTGTCAATTGGGTGGAGAATATGATGAGCCGATATGATCCATGCAAATGAGGCTCTTACTTCCTAAATCCGTGAGTAAAATTGTATAATTCGTCCGCTGCCGGAACATCATTAGGCGAAGGTATGAGGTCGGGAAACTCTTGTTTAGACATTTGTTACAGGAAGTTTTATGCCCCCGGCTCTAAGGCCCTATTTACACCAGTTTTGTGGTCAGGCTTTAGCAACCACAAAAATCCATCCGTATCTGGGCGTCACGCTGACAAGCGGACTGAAGTGGGGTGCACATGTTAATAATATCACAACTAAGGCGAAACAGACATTGGGAGTGATTAAACGTAATCTGTGGGCATGTCCAACGAGAGTAAAATCACTTGCATACACGTCACTTGTAAGACCGAACCTAGAATACGCTGCGACAGTATGGGATCCATATACAAAGAAAGACAAAGACAAATTGGAAAGGGTACAGAATTAAGCTGCAAGATTCTGTATGAACAACTATGTAAGAGGTGCTAGTGTCACGGAAATGAAAAGAAACCTACAGTGGACCTCACTTGAAGACAGAAGAAAGATGTCTAGACTATGCATGATGTACAAAATAAACTGGTGGATGTCCCAACTACTAAGTACCTAATACCAGCCCAGAAGAGAACAAGAAATAGCCACGCATTCAAGTACCAGAGTTATCAACCAAGGATTGAGGTGTTCAAGAATTCATTCTTTCCTAGAACTATCGCAGAGTGGAACTCACTGTCACCAAGTACAGTAGGGGCATTGTCAATAGATAGCTTTAAACAATGTCTAGAGCTAGAAGTTCAAGGGTTAGGTGTAACAAGTCGATCGGTGTAATATAGCCAGCTGCCGCCGCGCCGCGTGCCTGCGAAGCTGGTGTGTTACGCCGAAAGGCGGTTATACCGGCTATACAGATACAGATACACTAGGATAAAAGTGTCCGGATCGAGCCGAATTGAGTGGCTTTGATCCGGCTTCGATTCGGCTCCGATCCAGCTCCATCCTATTGGGAAAAGGGCGTAAGTGAAGCATGATAATAATCATGCAAAAACAAATGGTGTATTCTACAGGCAATTGTGAATGATTTTGATTAATAAAGATATGATATTCTATCATGTCACAATGTGGTTGCTAGTCATTACCGGCCTTACCTCCCTAATCATTTATGCATCATACCAAAGAGATTTGGAAGACCTCTGCAGTTGATGTAAAGCTTTGAAAAGTGAAATATCAGTTACAAAGCCGTCATGTCGTTTAAGATGATGAATAACTGAAGGATAAAGATATGAGATCATGAAAAAGAGAGATATTAGAGAAATGACCATATCCATTTGTTTGATCGTTAGTGCCGGAAGTGCCGAAGGGCGTTTCCTCCATCTTCGTGGATGAGGGGAAATGGATCGTGTATCCTCAACCCAATTTCACTGGAGGGTCATTTCTTCTGAAGCCCGGGGAGTACAAGGACCCCGGAGAAATGGAAAAGATGGCACAGGCACTAATCGCTGGTCAGAAATGGTCAGGTAAGCCTAACATTTCATTCATTTTAAAAACCAAATACGTAAAGTTCAAATACGACATACAACCGACAGGTTTTTTTATATGATTTAGTTCCCATACATCGTGATATGAGCATTATCATAAAAGTGTGTTGGTGGTAATCATAGTAAAATGTTGAACTTTATCCCAACACAAAGATTACACAGAAATCATTTTTAACGACCTCTGTCGCCTTCATCAGGATAATGAATGACCAATCACTTCAAAACATAATAAATCCATATTTATGTCACATGTGAATACAAGAATGGGACTTTTACAATTCCACATTTCTAACAGTTGGCTCTGTAGAGTCCCCCCAAAACGTGTTAAAAAAAGAACAAAATTAGATCATAATTCCGGTTTTCAATACAGGTCAGTGCCGGTCCTTTAGACAGGTTGCTGAGGGTAGTATGATGCTGTTTGACCAGGACAATTTTTGTGGTAAACGTTTGTTTACCAAGAAGGCCAAGGACAACTTTACATATTTTGACACTAAGTCCATGATCATCGAACGTAAGTTCTAGATAATTCAATTATCTAGGCGGGCTTTGTAACTGTAACGGTGACTGTTAAATAGCTACACTGCAATTTCACAATACGCGCACTGCAATTACAATTATCATATGCAGGCAGTATTAGTATCTCTTGCGCAGGCAGCTGCAAATAAAAACAACAATTCATCAACTATATAATTATAATTCACTTTATTAATTCCTTGCTGTCTCTTTAAAATGATCACTTAGTATCATCCAACCAGAACTAAAACTAAGAGTACATTCCACTACAGCGGATACCAACACCAAGAAAGCAAGAAAGCACCCGCAGGTGGACCTGGTTTTCGTGCTAGATGGATCCGCCAGTATCGGGACGGACAACTTTGCGAAGGTAAAACAGTTTGCTGTTAACGTGTCACGTGGTCTGCACATCGGCCCAACGACTACCAGGATCGGTGTGGTGCAGTACTCTGAAGTTGTGACGTAAGTATGAGTTGGTTAAATGTATGAAATTCAATGTAAGAAAAATAATTTCTTCCAGAACACATTCCCAACTAAAACGAGAAATTCTCCATACAGTATGTGCAAAATGCACACACCTATGTGCAAAGTGCACACACCTATGTGCAAAATGCACATACCTATGTGCAAAGTGCACACACCTATGTGCAAAATGCACATACCTATGTGCAAAGTGCACACACCTATGTGCAAAGTGCACACACTATGTGCAAAGTGCACACACCTATGTGCAAAGTGCACACACTATGTGCAAAGTGCACACAGCTATGTGCAAACTGCATAATTATACTACAAACAGACAACACTTTAATTCCGGACTGACTCTCATTCCGGACGACCTTTAACCATTAAGACATTATTATATTACCCGCTGAAAGTTGCGTAGGTATCATCGATACGCTGTAGGTCCCCTGGGACTAGGTCAGTTCTGCAGAATTCTGCATTCGGATGCAGAATTCTGCGCAGGTGCAGAATTCTGCAACCCAAATGCAGAATTCTCTATCCAATATCCATATCCAAATGCAAAATATGAAGGAATTTGCAATGTCTTATTTATTTTATGATGTTAGGAGAGTGGACTCACACTCGTCCTACATTGTGTATGTGTTTGCTACTAATCCCTGTGCTGCAAAAAAACATACAAGACAGGACATTCTGCCAAGTACCTTCCAAAAGCACAAAAGAACTTTACAGATGGCACACACATTTCAGGCACAAGTACTTTCAGGTCATTCAGGTCACAGTATTTCATGCTGTATCTGTATCTGTATAGTCGGTATAACCGCCTTTCGGCGTAACACACCAGCTGATGGTCATTGTCAGACTGAAGCTTGAGTTCTTGTACACGTGGCGTGATGTTGTGCTCGGTGCTCAGTGATGGCGGCCAGAGATGACTGGGTACATGGCAGAAGTAGTTGGCCGGCAAGCTGGCTTTGTTGTTGCAGCATGTCGACGATCGGGGTCGGTTTGCAGCAGGTGGGTGAGGCAGGCGGTTGTAGGCGTGGTAGCGCAGCTTGAGCAGCGATCAGGCAGGTGGATTCATTGCCAGGCGATTCAGGAGGTATGATAACACGGGTTGCGAGAGGTCCGGCTGCTCCCAACCAAATGTAGGGATGCAAGAGAAGAGGCGATGGGAAAGACATTGTACTCTGTGGTGGCATGGATACTTCCTGTTTTCCGCTAGAATTATACATTGCTACAAAACTGATTTTCTCTGATCCGAATCAAAAGTAATCCACCTAGAGGAAGTAGTTCAAGACATTTGTGGCGGATCCGGATCAGACATCAAACTTTCCCTGTATGTAAATCTGCCTGCTTTGACAATATATTACATCAAGTACGTTACCTCGAGTACTATCTGATCTACAAGATGTGTAGAGGCGCCATTAATTTTTGGGGGGCAAGGGCAAAACTTGCGTTGCTTCCCAAAAACATCAATGCCACTGTACAAGTCTGTGAAGGAGGCTACTAATCTGCTTTTTTGCACTTAAGACTTTTGCGTGTGTGTGTAAATTGGGTCTACATTGGTTTGTAAGTTGTTCAACAAACAGGTGACTTTCACAGCTCTCTCTGATATACAATGACAGTTCATTTTGTAAAGCTGTTATTAGTCATACTCTCATGTCTACCTAATATAGGTTAAAGCCAAAGTTCCAAATTATCAAAGGCCGTGTTCATGTGAAGTCAGTGAAGGCGCTTTACATGTGGTTTCCCCCGAAGCCGGTTTCAAGTGGCTCCATCTGAACGCTCCAAATCACATTGAAAGCGCCTTGATCCCAAACCACTTCTAGAGGTGGTTTCGAATCGGTTTTCCCGCATCGCGATTTGCATCTGAACGCAATGTGATTTCAATGTGACTTCACCTGGTCATGGATTACGGGGTGATATTTCTTTATTTATAAGCAATACCAAATTTTAAGTGGCAGCAACTTGAAGAGCAGTAATGGTCAAATAATGTGTCTGTTCTAGGACGAGCTTCACCGCCTCTGGCGGGACCACGTCAGCATTCGGCCGAGATATGCTGGGAGGGGCACCAGCAAGCAGGTCGTTGACCTCTGACATTAACAACACGCCACCTTGCGTTGCATTGTTTTAATCAAACAACAATGAATGTAGTTTCAGAGAATTGTGATCGGGCACGGTTTGAAAGGAATGTATGGCACATGGACCAGATGTGAGGAATGCGAGTTACCCGAATCGCGGTTTGGGTGACTTCACATGAACAAGGCCTAAAAAGTGTTGTATGGCAGTCTTGTACCTAGAAAGGACCAATAGGAATAAGTCATCTATGATGATATTGTTATGATGACAAATTACTTCATAATCATAATACAAAATTTTGCCCTCTCATGCCCCTATCACCTTGTGACTCTTCACTTCAAGATTTTGCATCATCTTTATAATTCATACAATGTAAAAGTTGCTCTTTCTCTTATCTCCACTGTAATAGTCTGGCTGTGAGTCTTGCTATTGCTAACACCAGAAGCTGTTTCATGCTGGGTTAGCTGCTGCCAGTATTTACTTAAGGATTAGCTTGTAACAAGGTGTGACAGATTAATTTGTATCAGAGTGCTCCCAAGTGCCCTCAGTTAGCCCCCAGCTGACAGAAAACCCCAATGAACAGGCTGGGGGTTCCAATGCATTCAAGTCATCACGTTTTGCTAATAATTATACTAATCGTGCAAACTTTGCAATCACATTTTTAAACATTTTGTGCTGAGCACACATGGTCATCTCTACTTACATGTCATGTATATTGAGAAGTGTTTTCCCATTCAGATGACTGAAGGTTCAATATTCCTTCTCTACCTTAAGACCACGTAGACACAAAGCACTTCGACAGAACTTCTCATACAAGGTCGTATCTGCATATATAAGGTTGCCACCCTGTCTGTAGTTTTGTGTAGTTATTTGTGCACATCGTGGTGTAGCAGTATTTAAACCTTCATAAAATTTGATTTAATCTGGTACTGTAACTGTACTATCTAGAAAACAAAGCTGTATACACCTCCATCGACGATCATGGACTAGTCTGGATGTCAGACCCATGGCACACTGGGCCCAAAGTAATACATGTATCTCAGGCGTCGTTCATGATTGAAATGTGTTCCGGTTTGGCCACGATCCGATTGGAAACAGAATATATTTCTGCGTCCGTGATTTCAAAACGTACATCCACACTGGAAACGGTTTCACACCGCAGATTTGTGCAGAAATCTGCTTTTTTAAAGATTTCGTACAATACTGTCTTACAAAATGTATCAATATGGTGATAAGTGGTAGATATACTCTCCTACAAATGCTACAATCACGTTACATGTCTTTTGGGCATAACTTGTCGGAAATGCATTGGCTTTTCCTGTATTCCTTGCAACGTTAGCATATACAATTTTGTGTAGTCTTGTGTAGTACATTGTGTATATCGTCTTGTAATGCAACAGGATTTAAACCAGATATAAGATCACACACTTTGTTTTAATCGAGAACAAAGTAACCGTTTACTGTGCCCTGGGTGAATTTGACACTCACAAGAAGAGAAAGTGGTCTGAATGAACTCTTTTAGGCCTTATAGACTTGAACAGTATCTAATCCTTAAGTTTTGTGGCTTTAGCAAGGAGAAAGGAGAAGAAGACTTTGAGAAAGGTTATGCCTGGAATCTTCTATGGGTCGTGCAGAGAGGAAATAGAGAAGCCGGGTCATTGAAAGTGCAGATTTTCACAACCAGATGGTCCGGTGGCCCCACACAAGAAAGCGAACATAGCCAAACAACATCACGGACCTGAGAAATAACCAGCAAATAAAGTCTACCACCTCAAAAATGGAAGATTGTTCCACAGTAACTAGGTTACATAATTTTATTTGAATTCTATCCAGGATAAATTGCATTGACAGGATAGACGGGGACCGTTAGGTAGGTCACTGAGACTGACCTCAGCCCTGCCAGGCCGACTCTGGGGACATCCCTGGAGGACTTGTGCTAATCCGTAACACCACCAGGGCTTTCCTGGGCTAAAACTTTGATTATTTTGGGCAAAAATTGTCGGAAATGCATATTATTGGCTTTTGTTCCACTTCATGACAACCCAATGCCCCGCAAGTTGGCATTCAGATACATGGAGCTTTGCACCATGCTTTTTGCTTTTTGATTTAGGCCTAGCAACTTCTAGCAGCTAGCCTATAGGCCTAGCAGCAGCTTTTGTGCCACTATATCATGGCTCGATCACACCCTAAAATCAAGTTTCAACCCTTGGTTACAAATGTCTCTCCTATCCCACTTTGAAGTTCTGCAAGACTCCCAGACTGGATGTCCGCGGGATTTTGGGGCCGTGTAATGGTTTACTTCCCCAACCTCATCTTTCTTGCTTTTTCTCGTCTGACCATCTCAGCTGATGGCTGTAGGTCAGCACTTTTTGTGGGTCAATACAAGATGATACCGGTCTTGAACACCAGAATCTGATTGTTATCTACAATTGATTTGTCCCTATTTAGTCAAGAGGAAAGAAAGAAGAATAAAGCCTTGCTAGAACTTGGGACATGATTTTAGTAGTTGAATTGCTACATTTACTGTGAGACTGTGTTCAAGCCCTGGACAACTGCCCTTGGAAGAACTTATCACCAAGGTACAATGTAGCTTGGGGTGCTACTGCGTTTGTGTAACAATTTTCTATGCCCCACCTCCACACTTATCCTAACAAATTCAGGGCTTTTAAAGTCTTCACAGTAAGGGCCCAGAGAGCCCCTCTTGACCACCAAACTGTAATCACTATCACATGTTTTCATGGCTTATCTATCTAGCCCATAGAGAAGACCTCTATAGTCTCAGGAGAACTACCTTAAGTAGCCTGTGTAACCCAACCTTTTTCCCTGTACTTTTCTTGGCCAGTTGTTAGGCAGGGAACTGGATGTATTTCCATTTGTTCTGCTTGAGATCTGTAAGGTGATTTTTGAAGTGAAAAAATGCT